CTCAATTGAATTACATATTTTAATTGAAATCAATCGGAAGCATCGATCGATTTCAGAGAACTTCAAATAACTGTCACATTTACGTATCAATTATTTTCTATTCTTTTATTCGAATATATGAATTTTTTTTTTCTACCGTTACTCGTTGCTATGTATACGTACATTGTGAAATAATTTATTATACTATATTTAATATATTATTACCGGAGAAAAAGTCGTTATTTAATCAGGAAATATAAATTGTAAATGTGAAAACGAGGTTAGTGGAAGAGAAAAATTGAATAGGGGGTGGAAGAGGAGAGGGTGGCATAGGGTGGTAAAGACATCGAACAAATATATAATATATAATAATACAAATATATATATAATAAATATAATAATTATAAATATAAAAATATAAATTATTAATATTTATATAAAATTATTATTTATATTATTTATTATAAATATTTAATATATATAATGAAACATATAATTAATGAATTACAAAATTATATAATAATATATTAATTTTTATATTTCATCGAATTGAGACGTACACACATATAAAATTACTAGATAACATAATTGTATTTTTTTTATTCGACAACGTAACGATACGACCGATTTCCGTGTGTGCGTGAATTCACGTATATGTTAACAAGAAAAAAATAAATCTTTCGTCGTAATAACTCGTCATATTGCGAATCTATCGAGCTATCGATCGACAGGTCTCTCAGATAAGTAAAGGATGTATCACATAAATACATAATACTACTATTATGGTTGTATGAGGAGAGTATCCTTGACTTTGAACCTTCCTGTCTTCTTTGTCGTCATCATAGTTGTCTTTATTCTATTCTACTTTATCTCTCTTTTTTCTCTTTTTTTTTTTTTAACAAACATTAGCCTTTACACACTCGTCGTCAGCCTTGGTTATTTCAATTTTTCATAGATAGAGAAAATCAAGGACGTTTATGATCGATAAGTAACAACCGGGTGGGGAACTTAATGATTAAAAGAAGAAAAACAAGTTTGTTATAACTATAACGATTCCCCTAAATCGTTCGATAAAACACAAATAATAAATAATAATAATAATAATAATAATATGAGTTTTTAATTTTAATTATGAATTTATTTATACAATTCCACGTGCTCTGGTACTTGTGAAAACTTTTCCAGCTATACTATACGTACAAAAATTATTCTTCTTTTATATAGTATATATATATAAAATATTTTGAT